AGTCCCAGCTACTCGGGAGGCTGAGGCAGGAGGATTGCTTGAGCCCAGGAGTTTGAGGTTGCTGTGAGCTAGGATGACGCCACGGCACTCTAGCCCGAGCAACACAGTGAGACTCTGTCTCAAAAAAAAAAAAAAGAATGCCAAATGAAAAGTTTTCTGTTAAAAGATGTAAATCTTGCACAGGGAAAGTATTGATATCAGTTGTTAAGTATATGAGGGCTTATAGAAAAATGAGGTGGATTATGGTATATTAATATATACCTAAGTATAGTTGTGCCATATTCATTAATGTTTCAGTCTGAATCCCAGTTCATCTGAGTCAGTACCAAGACCTTTGTACTCTGAAAAATGTATCCTTGTTTGATGTTAGATCAATGAAAATACCACAATTTCTGAGGAGGGGAATAACACACACATTTACATAATGTTAATGTGTCATTACCAAATAAAAGCACACATATTTTCACATATATATATATTTTATTTTAATTTGCCATTGCCTAATGAAATACATGTTCATATCTTTAAACAGGTATCTACAACTCAGTGTTTACCAAATTTAAAATGTGCAGACTCTGGATTAGCTAATTTCTCTTTGTCACCAAGCAGCTGATCACCCTTAGTCAGCTTTCTGAATTCCCATCCCTCCCCGATTCTGCAACTCAGTGAAAAAAGAGAAATTACTTGCATAAGCCTACAGTTACAGCAAAAAATAGATCAAACTCCTCCTCTCACATGATCCATCTTTCATTGGTTCTTCCAACCTAGTCTGCCTTCCTTATTTTTTTTTTTTTGATCATTGTGGTGCATTCAGTTATTCCCTTTTTCTGTGAGCCTTCTAAGCATGATAGCTACCGAGCAACTGTCACAGATGCTACAACTGTCATAGATTCTGCAAGTTTGCTTCTGGATTCCTAAATACATTTAGTTTAGGATAGCCTTAAGTATTAATCATGGCTTCTGATTCAAACCCAGCCTCTGAGGATATACTTCAAGGTAAGAAATTTATCAAGAGAGGTTTCATGCCCTAGTCTTGGCAGCAAATTTTTTTTTGCAACAAGGTGACTACTAACTCATAGTAGTGTGCATGCTATGTAATTGTAAGTACCCAAGTACTTATTGACCTATGTTTTAGATAATTGTTCAGGAATAGTAATACCATTAAACCTCCTTACTTGTTTTTCTCAGGCCATATCTTTATGATAGGGAATAGGGGTTCAGTTTGACTCTGGGATGGAGATTTTTCTGAGCAAAGTTGATAAAACTTTTACCTGTGTGTTTTAATGAACTGTCTTATAGTTCATGCTCTCATGTATTAAATTTTTATCAAAATTACAGATACAGGGAACAAATTCTGTCTGGTAAATATTTTTAGATTTGCTTAATCTGAGAATATTCTTAGGAAAATATTCATGATTATAGATTTATGTGTAAGCTTCTAAAACGTAACCTTTTCCATCATTTACACAATATCATCTAATTTGTTCTTTTAATTAAAGCTTTCCCCCAATCTTTATTTCAGCTCCAGTGTGCTGCTCTGCTCGTTACAACTTAGCAATTTTGGCGTTTTGGGGTTTCTTCGTTGTCTATGCATTACGTGTGAATCTGAGTGTTGCGTTAGTGGATATGGTAGATTCAAATACAACTTTAGCAGATAATAGAACTTCAAAGGAGTGTGCAGAACATTCTGCTCCCATAAAAGTTCCTCATAATCAAACGGTAGGTGTTATTTCTTAAGCAAACGATCTTAATTAATCCTAAAATATTCCAATGAAAAATATTAAAAGGTCTTTCTTCATCCTACAGAAACCACAAACACTTTCTTTACATATACTCTGAATCACTTTCTTTTTGTGTTTCCCCGGGAACTGGTTTGACAATAACTTGTACTGTAGCTACTACTGCTGTACTTGATCTGTTTGAAAAGTAGTTCTTCAGTTCCCTCTATAAATATACCAGTCTTGAAGAGAATTTGAAAAAACCCATTTTATATATCAGAAAATTAGATTGTTTCAAATGTTTCTAAATAGTTTTCATAGTGCTATTATTTAATAGCTATTTCACTTATATGGTTACTGTTGCAGGAGAGTTTATATAATCTCAGCTGTAGGATGAAAAATAAAAACTGGCTAATTTCTTAGGACATTCTTTTCCAAATTTATACAGTCTAACCTAAGCTACTTAAGTCGTTTTGCCTGCCTCATGTTATAGTGGAATTGTGATAAATGTCTGTTCATCATCTCTTTAGAATTAAGTTTTATGCACTTTAAATATTTTACTTTGCTCATCACACAAGGAAACAGTACAGGGAGAAAAGGCTCGTATTCTTTTTGTGAGTATATTTTCGTCCATTTTCAGTGCTCATGAAGGCACTAGATCATACTTGGGTGAGTCTTCTCTGCCATTTACAAACAGGAGCATTCAAGCATGGAAGAGGGTTTCTGCCCCAGCGAAATAATGACTGATGAAAAATCTTTATATTTTACTTTAATAATGTTGCCGAATGACATATTTGGATACACACCCCCCACTTTCCTTAGTCCAACCTATAACCTTCAGGGGAAGTATGGCTGGAACATACACAAAGTCCTGAAATTCTACAAATGAGCTACAAATTGGTACGCTAAACAAGGATAATTAGGACTGGGAGCTTGCTTTGTATCTTTTCCTTTGTTGACCTAGCAACTTATCTTCGTCTGCTTTATGTCCACAATAAAAAGGAAGCTTGGAATGGTTCTTGACATGTTGGCTTGGTTATACAGCTACATGCACTAAAGATGTCAGATACCAAGATCAGTCACTAAATCTTCATTAGTACCTTACTGTGTGCTGCTACTAATTAAAAGACAGGTCCTACTTACATGAACTTTATGGCTTGTTTTGAATTCTTGCTCTTTTGTTCCATATGCTTGTTTAAGTGCTTGGTCTGAAATGGGAAGATATTAATTACCTGTGTTTATACATGCTAATTGCCAACATTAAGTGAATACTGTGTATCAGGCCTTATTTTACGTGCATTTTTCATTTAATCCTCTCAGATCACACATCCAATAAGTAATAGAACTAGACTTAAACCCAGGCCTGGCTCCAAATTCTAGCTCAACCACTATAGTGTCCTGTTTAATAGCTTTCTGAATTAAGCCTGTGACTCTTTTATGAGCCTTGCTGGTTGCGGTTATTACAAAGTCTCTACAGCTCATCCTATGGTCTCTAGTTTCATAAAATAGCAAGCCTTATTGAAGTTTATGACTTCTAATTCTGTTGCTTTCACTTGTAGAAACTGCATATGTCTATTATCATGATGACTCACCCACCTACTAGAAAGTTTGCATGTTCTTCAGTCCAAAATAGTGGTTCAAAATTTCTTTTATGTGTACTTATGTGCCAATGAGAGAAAAGAGCTATTTAGTCAAGGTCTTAAAGGATCGTTGTTGTGTGTTTTTTTTTTCTCCTACTTTTTGTAGGGTAAAAAGTACCCGTGGGATGCAGAAACTCAAGGATGGATTCTCGGTTCTTTTTTTTATGGCTACATCATCACCCAAATTCCTGGAGGATATATTGCCAGCAAAATAGGGGGGAAACTGCTGCTAGGATTTGGGATCCTTGGCACTGCTGTCTTGACCCTGTTCACTCCCATTGCTGCAGATTTAGGAGCTGGACCTCTCATTGTACTCAGAGCACTAGAAGGACTAGGAGAGGTAATTTGTTTTTTCTCTTTTGTTTTACTTCTTACCTTATATCAATTTCTCTTCTTAAAGGTATCATTCCTTGGTATGACTATAAACCAAAAATTAATTAACATTGGATAATAACAGGGATTTTTTTTTTTTTTTTTTTTTCTGAGACAGAGTCTCACTCTTTTGCCCAAGCTAGAGTGAGTGCCGTGGCATCAGCCTTGCTCTCTGCTATTAACATAATAACAGGGATTTTTTTTTTTTTTTTAATTTCTTTAGCATCCAAACACTTTATCCCTGCCTACTATCCTCAGGAT